GCTCTGGAGGAGCAGGCACAGCAAGGCGCTTTTGAGGAGCTGGCACTGGAGGGAGCTCTGGAGGAGCAGGCACAGCAAGGAGCTTCGAGGAGCGGGCACTGGAGCGAGCTCTGGGGCTGGAGCCGACACTGGAGCGAGCTCTGGGGCTGGAGCCGACACTGGAGCGAGCTCTGGGTGGGAGTGAGCCACGAGCAACAGGCTTGACTTTGAAGTGGCCAGCGAGCTTGACACAAAAACGGCCGGTGGGCTTGCCACAGGAACTTCGGAACTAGACTTCGTAACGGCCGGCGGGCTGGAGAAAGCCGTGGCCAGCAGGCTTGACGGAGGAACGGGGGGGTCCCGGATCGGGATCGGAGGCTCTCCAGACACCGGATGACTGCCTCCTTCCAGTCGAGGTTGGTGGTGTCTGGGAGCTCCGCGGAGCGACGGTAAGTAATCCTGATCCAGAACAGCGTCACGAGGGTTTCCCCCTCGAGGGAGCTGGCGAGGGCAAGCGGCACGAACGCCCTCGCGTAGACGATCGGGTCGGGGTTCGCCTGAGCTACAGCGATGAACTTCGCTCGTTCCTCCATGTGAGCGGGGAGAAACGAACGGTAAAACAAAATGCTTTTAAAAACCTGAAAATAAACACGGGGAGAAGAGGCGCCGCTCACTTTCAGTTTGGATCGGCTGTTCTGTCATGGTCACTCGGGGAAGGAAGGAACGAGGAACGAGGAGACGCTGGAGAACGTTCAGAACTTGACTTTAATTCGAGAAACAAGGAGATACCGAACACAGGAACATCAGGATGACATTCAACAGCCGACAGAACACACTTGGAAACACAGGGTTTAAAAGCTCAGAAACTAATGGGACGCACCTGGGAGCAAATGAACTAATTAATGAAACACAGCTGGACACAAATGATAACCAATGAGGACAGGACACAGGAAGAACCAAATAAGGGCAAAACAGAACATACACGTGACAGTGATATGAAGCATGAAAAATCAAACAATCATTCAAATACTGAATCAGTTAAATATATAGAGTGTGTCATAATTCTTAATTTGTAGTAAATTGTGGTAGATTAATAAATCCACATTTTATTAATAGCATTTTATTTTTGTATTTAAACAGGTCTTTTGTTAAAATCTAAATCTAAATAAACATGAAAAGCATTATAGATAACAACATTATTATTTGAATTTTGTTTATTAATTTTGAACCACCAAACAATCAGATATTGTTTTAAATATCCAAATATTGTATCAGCTCACAGATTCTGTTGTGGCGGTTTACAACTAAAAGGTCTGGTGGACTGATTGGACAACAAATAAATAAATCTGTTGCTGTGGTCTACTGAACAATCATTTATCAGACACATTTACTTATAGTACCCTTATTATAGGGACACAAGTCATGCCTACAGGGACAATGGTGGTAAACGTACACCCTTTCAACCCTTAGTATTAGCTTATTACCCTTCGGTTATTCAAAAGTGATACACACAGTTATTTGCGAAAGTCATGTGTTTCTTAAAAAAGAATCTAAATGACTTTATCCTGTGTTCATTTCTTAGGAACAAGAGGACCCCAACAAGCTTGCTACCAGCTGGCCTGATTACTATATTGACCGCATCAACTCCATGGCAGCTGTAAGTACTTGCTTTATTACCTTTATATTTATTTTGTGTTTATGACAGTTGACACAAAAGAGCTGGCTCCCTGTGCATGCACTTTGTGTGTGCGCACTCAGAAAACCATATTTCAGAAGTTTAAACTGACAAGGTTTTTTAAACGCAAAGAATAAACTTTTCATGATAAGGAAGAACTGCAAAGTCATGTGAGTGTGAACATTATAGAGATGATAACCAAAATTGATCAGATGCTTTATTTGTTGCGTGAGCTGCCAAGTACAGCCCTCTTCTGGAAAAGGGGGCGGGAAGCAGTATTTTACAGTGGCCGAGAAGTGCAAAACAAATCACAATTATGAAAACAAAATAACAAATTACAAACGCAAATCCAAATCTAAAAAACAAAATAACAATTCAGAAAACACAACAGCAATTACGAAAACATTATAACAAGTCAGAAAGCACAACGACAAATCAGACAAAACGGAAGAGGTAGGTATAGTTTGAGAATGGATTACTTACTGCTGACTGTACGAGATATCTGTCAAACAAGGTATACAGGAAGTACAGCAGACTAGTGGTAAATAATTTGGAGATGTTCTTAAAGTAGCTCAGTATAAATAAGTATTACTCTTACTGTGGAATAAAATATGACATGCTTCCAAATTTCAGTGGTTCATGCGGAGGTTTTGAAAGAGACACAAAAGAAAACGGCCATGTCAATGAACATTACGGGTAGCCTAGATAGTGATAATATAGCTAGAATGTGTCTTGCCGCTGTGATGTGATGCACTGTGACCATTTCAACGGACCGTTTCCTCCGAAGTTTTTTTATATTTTCATTTAAAAAAATATGTATGGACGTTTATAACACTGTACTTTGTGTTTTATTACCTTTGAATCAGATTATAAGATAGTTAACGCTAATGCGAGGGTGTTCTAATACAGCGTCTGGGAGTGATGGTAAATTTGACAGTTCTCTTCTGACTGCCTGTCACAATCACCAGCTGGAGTGCCCACTGGTGGAGCTCATGTCACTGGAGGAGTCATTCCTGACTTTTACCATTCACCCAGGACTCCATTTCCCATAATCCTTTGCCCAGACTCATCTGCACTCATCATCAGTTGCAGTCACCTGTCTCTCATAACCTCATCAGTCTCACACTATAAGAATGGCACACAAACACTATCACATTGCGGAAGCCTGTAACGTTTCCCTGTCTTCTGTGTTTCCTTGCCTTGCCTTTGTTTTCTTTGATCTTGGACTGTTTTCTGTTTTGTTATTGTTTGCTGCCTGCCCTGCCCTTCGCCTGTTACTGGATTACCCTTTTGGATTACATTGTGTGCTACTGTTTGCTGGTGTTTTGACCCTGCCTGTCTAAGTCAAGTCAAGTCAAGTCACCTTTATTTATATAGCGCTTTTAACAATACAGATTGTGTCAAAGCAACTGAACAGCATTAATTAGGAAAATAGTGGTTATTTCTCTGCACCATTACTTCAAACGAGTTATACTTGAAGCCCGCCTTCTGAGAAATACTGAAAACATTGTTATAAATTGAAGCAACACCTCCCCCTTTACCTTTTGGACGCGGCTCATGTTTATAACAGTAATCTTGGGAGGTAGACTCATTTAAAATAATGTAATCATCAGGTTTTAGCCAGGTTTCTGTCTAACTACGTCTTAATAATAAAGCCTGCATTTGGATCCACATCTCCGTCGTCACGCCTCCTACGTTACACTGCCGTTATCAGTATTTTTTTTTTCTAACTATGTCTTAATAATAAAGCCTGCATTTGGACCCACACCTCCGTCGTCACGCCTATTGTGGCGTTTTTCTTTTGCTATTTGGGCAAATGGGAATGCAAAAAAAACAAGGCAGAGGTATGTTAAATTGGGTTTTTTTTATGTGGTGTGGAGAGAATATACAGTATATATTTAAAGAGGAGAATATAAATATAAAATATCAAGAGTTCAACAGTCTTTTTATTAGGAAAATTGAACTGGAATTAAGATACATAGTTCATAGCCTACATAGTTCAAAAACTCTTTTGAATCACCAGAAATATAGAAGATAAAATATAGAAGTTTGTCTCATAACAGCTGTACACAAAGCAGCGCGGCTTTCATAAACGCTACCTTATCAGGCATTATTCAGGCATTATATTTAAGATGAAATGAAAATGAAATTGAAACTTTTCTGAAGACAGATTATTAGCTACCATTCTATTTGGTGGATCACCAGTCACATATGTCATCAGGTTGTGGCTACAGTGTCCAATAAAGTGATACCATTTTTTATTTTGGGTGTTTACTTCCCACTAGCCTGAACGACATTATGGAAGCAAAATAGCCCAAAATCTCAAAATTGACCGTTAGACTGGACATGGTTTATAGCTTTTCTGAAGCATACCTGACCTGCCATGATGTTTTATTTGTTTAAAACCAGAGTAAAAGTTTGACAAAAATCACTTGTATTTCAGATGCAGACACTATTTGCTTTTGAGGAAGAGGAAATGGAGATGAGAAACAAGGTGGTAGAGGATCTAAAGACAGCCCTCCGGACTCAACCAATGAGGTAAGAGAACTTAATTCTTTATATTGATCCATAATTCTCCACAATAACTCCAGTTCAAGGAATCAAAAGTGAATACCCTGATTTAAAAGAGCTGCTCTCAGCAAACTAATTCCGGCTTGGATTATGTGGGAAGTGCACTTTTCTACAGATTAGGATGTCTCTGCCATCTGTGAGGATTGGCGTGGAGGCAAACATTACTGCATCCGTCTTTGTCTGTGACTGTCTGATATTGGTTGATCACTACTTCTGAACACATTTAAGTAATGTGTATCATTCATTTAGCTGAAACAGTGACTGACTGCTTCCTGTATTCAGTCCTGGGCCTTTTTGTACATAAAAACAATCAGAATGAGACACCAGTATCTTTTTTCCCCTCAAAGATTAATTTATCTTTGAAATATATTTTATTGCCAAGCCCATGCTGTCTTTAGACCATTAGTCTTGAGTCTCTTTCATCACTGCTGGCAAACAGAACCAGAACTTTTTTCTCTGAGTCACAAAGAAAAATGTCTAAGCTGTCAGGCACACTGTACCCAGTCGTCTAGACCAGTGGTATTCAAACTCGTTCCTGGGGACCCACAGCTCTGCACATTTTGCATGTCTCCCTAATCTACACACCTGATTCAGATCATCAGCTCATTAGAAAAGAGCTCCATGAACTCAAATGAGTGTGCCAGATAAGGGAGACATGCAAAATGTGCAGAGCAGTGGGTCCTGAGGAACAGGATTGAAAACCATTGGTCTAGACATATAAGGCAACTTAAACGGGACTGACTGTTAAAATAACAGCTTCCACATTGCCATGGATGAGGGACCATATGGACCATGCACTTCAGTTTTTTGTGGTCAGTTTTGTCACTTAATGTTAGATAGTTTATTTTTGTGATCTTGGTTCTTTAGAGAGATAAATTGCAGTGTCATCTGAGTGACCCCAGCAGTGCAAATTCAACATCTGCTTTGAGTGAAGTAAGGGGCCGTTTACACGACAACGTTTCCAAAAACTGGAAACTTTTTATGTGTTTTGCCTGTTCGTTTACACGACAATGGCATTTTGGGGACTGAAAACGCATAATTTTGCAAACGGGTTTCAAAGTGCAAGTTTTTGTAACCACCACCATTATTGTTTCCATGTAAACACCCAATACGGGAATCTTTGAAAATGGTGACGTCATGCATGTGCGTAGTACATGTTAGGTATGTAGATAATACAGCGTTTTTTGCAGTTTTCACGGATATGTGTAAATGCGAATCGTTTTGAAAACGTTGTCATATATACGTGAAACTTTTTAAAAACGCAAGGGAAAAGCTTTTCCGACTACATCATTGTAGTGTAAACGTAGCCTAAGATGGACACAACTCAAGCAGCCTGCAATTTAAAAGCAATCAAAAAATTATTGGCTATAAATAGAAGTAACCCATGAATGTTTATGACAAGTTCTTCAAGAGCAGCTAGCTGGGTCCCGGATGTAATCCGCTAATGGATGTAAATGTGGCTTTGAGGCTTGAAGGTATTTTTTCACCTCATCAGTGCCAGTGCAGGAATTACTTTAAATGAGCAGAAGTAAATTAAAATATTGAATATCCAGTTTACGTAGTAGTGAAATGTATTAAATACAAGTCAGCCCGAGTGCTTTTTAAAGAACAACTTTTTTCATACAATTTTAAGTGTTCATTTCAATTATACTGTTTTTGCAGTTGTAGCTTTATTACCATCAGCTAATTTATGGCTTTAGGAGTCATTTTACACTGTTATAAATCTAACAAGTGCCATAATTAGATGATGTAACATCCACATCTGTCATGCAGTAACCGACTTTGTCCAATATGGAAAATGGTGCAAACACTGCTCACATGAAAACTCAAGCAAACATTATTTGCGATGTTATTACAGCCTTTTGAAGACCAGATCATTTGCAACAATCTGACGTAACCTACAGTAGTAAAAAGAGGTAAAAGCTCTCTTTGCGGATTAGGTTCACAGGTAAAAAAAAAAAAAAAGGTTACAGTTAGCACTGTACAGATGTTTACTGCTGTCAAATACTTTTCTGGAACAATGTGACTCCATATTTGCTTCACAATCTCTTGAATGTTTTCATTAATATCAAAACAAGTACAGACGAATTTTTAACTACTGTAGCTAATGTAAGATAATAAGAAAATAGTAAGACCCTCTGTTTTATTAACATTTGTTAGCCCTTATTTAATACTTCTCAAGCTGTGATGTAAAGGCTATTTTTTTAAACATTAAAAAAATTAAAAAATCCTGTCCCAACTTCCTGTTTAAACAGGACATTTGTCGACAGAGGGGAAAAAAGACATGCCAAAGTCTGTGCTAATGTGTGGTAATACTATTAAAATCTTGTGTGTCTCATTTTATCATTGTTTAATGATCTAGGAGTGTTCCTCTATACCAGGGTTTCTCAAATCTTGCCCTGGAGGGCCAATGCGCTGCAGAGTTTAGCTCCAACCCTGATCAAACTCACCTACCTGTGATTTTCTAGTGATCCTGAATACATTGATTAGCATGCTCAGGGGTGTTTGATTAGGGTAAGAGCTAAACTCTGCAGGAAAGTTGATCTCGTGGGCCAGATTTGAGGATCCCTGCTCTATACCAGTGGTTCTCAAACCTCTCCATGAAGTACCCCCAACACTGCACATTTTGTATGTCTCCCTTTATCTGACAGACCCACTTCAGGTCTTGCAGTCTCCACTAATGAGCTGATGAGTTGAATCAGGTGTGATAGATGAGGGAGACATACAAAATGTGCAGGGTACTCCAGGACAGGTTTGAGAACCAATGCTCTATACCAGGGGCCACCCCTGTTCGCCACGAACGTCAGTCCTGGAGAGCCGCAGCCCTGCAGAGTTTTGCTTCAACCCTAATCAAACACACCTGAACAAGCTAATCAAGGTCTGAACGGTTACTAGGAAGCTACAGGCAGGTGAGTTTTAATTAGGGTTGGAGCTGAACTCTGCAGGGCTGCGGCTCTCCTGGACCGGAGTTCGCCACCCCTGCTCTATACCATTCCTGGAGAGCCACAGCCCTGCAGAGTTCAGCTCCAACTCTAATTAAAACTCACCTGCCTGTAGCTTTCTAGTAACCCTTCAGACCTCGATTAGCTTGTTCAGGTGTGTTTGATTAGGGTTGAAGCAAAACTCTGCAGGGTTGCGGCTCTCCAGGACCGACGTTCGCCACCACTGCTCTATACACTTGATATCTTTGCTCAGTAGACAGTTAGCCTGCTGAGACAAAAGTATCATTCATTACTTAGTGCATACAATCTGCCACTTACAGTTAATAACACTGAAAGCAGGAAGATAAATGCAGCACCATGATTTGGCTCCGACAGCTCAGTACTATAGGTAATTTTTATGTGTGCCATGAACACACAAGTTTACTTAATCTGTTATGCATTTTGAGAAGTTGAGTGAGATGAGTTTGAGAAGACAGCAGTGTCGTCCTGGCCACTTCAGTCCCTGTGCCATCCTTCTAATTTTTCTTCTTACTCCCCAACTTTTTGTGTACTTTGCTAGTGAAGGAATTACATACTTGTGAGTTTAGCATGTTGAGCTGAGTATGTAGGAAGTAGTGCTGTCAAACGATTAAACGCATACAAAATAAAAGTTTTTGTTTACATAATATATGTGTGTATACTGTGTATATTTATTATGTATATATAAATACACACACATACAGTATATATTTTGAAAATATTTCCATGTATTTCCATGTATATATTTATATTCATTTAATTGATATAATATATAAATATTTTAAATGTATAAACTTAACATATTTTTCTTAAATATATACATGCATGTGTGTGCATTTATATATACGTAATAAATAAAGTTTACTTAATCTGTTATGCATTTTGAGAAGTTGAGTGAGATGAGTTTGAGAAGACAGCAGTGTCGTCCTGGCCACTTCAGTCCCTGTGCCATCCTTCTAATTTTTCTTCTTACTCCCCAACTTTTTGTGTACTTTGCTAGTGAAGGAATTACATACTTGTGAGTTTAGCATGTTGAGCTGAGTATGTAGGAAGTAGTGCTGTCAAACGATTAAACGCATACAAAATAAAAGTTTTTGTTTACATAATATATGTGTGTATACTGTGTATATTTATTATGTATATATAAATACACACACATACAGTATATATTTTGAAAATATTTCCATGTATTTCCATGTATATATTTATATTCATTTAATTGATATAATATATAAATATTTTAAATGTATAAACTTAACATATTTTTCTTAAATATATACATGCATGTGTGTGCATTTATATATACGTAATAAATATACACAGTACACACACATATATTATGTAACCAAAAATTTTTATTTTGGATGAGATTAATCGTGATTAATCATTTGACAGCACTAGTAGGAAGTAAATTATGTATATAGTTAGTAATGTAAAATGTCTTCATACCTGTTCCCCATGATACTCTTTCAGACACTTAACCTCACACTGTTTATGCATGTAAACATTACTAAGTGGTGCATACATTAATTAACTGGTTTGGCTTCTTGACATATAATTCAGTTTTGTATTTGTATTACACTGCCATCTCACAGCAAGAAAGTCCTCCAAATATCCTTTTTTGGATATTGTCTTCAAGTTTCATGTGCTCAACCTTGTTTTTTTGTTTGTTTGTTTTTTATTCCACATTCTGGAAGGAGTGTGCAGATGGCAAGCTTTTCTTAATTTGGTAGTTTTAATATAAACTGTGTAGCCACGACACAGGGCCTCTGTCTTCACACCGCTGGTCAGCCAACACAAAATGTCACTCCAAAGCAAGATAGGTTTCACAACATCCTCCCGAAGACCCTGAACCTCTCACCACCACAATGAGGGGCTCAGATCGGGAAGAGTACTTGTGTCAAGTCAGTGAGAGATATGGAGGCAACATGTCTATTGATCTTTTGAATTACTGAGGTAGTACTTTGCACCTTTAAGAAGGTGATTACATTTTTTTTATTTATGACA